TTCCTTACTCACTTTTTTCCTTTATGGGCATTTTCAAGGTGGTTGAAATGGCTACTTATTAGGCATCTGCTATGCATATCCTGTACCAGGTCCATGGAGGATGGAGCATGGGGAAAAATCATTTATCATCTTTGGGATTCATTCTCCTGGTCTGTAAAATGGAGAATTAGACTACCTTAGTGATTCCCAAGTTTTATACATATTTAATAAAGCATATTCAATTTTTCATTTAAAAAAGAGAAGAAAAATATCTTCAGAAACCACAGAAAATAAAGCTTCACAAACTCTTCTTAGCCAATACGGATATAAAAAGCATAGAATCCCAACAAAAGGGCCATCTGAATCTACATAAGGGCAAGGTATGTGATCTTTTATGCTTTTAACCTTATAAAACCAGTAGAAAAAAAAAAACAACTGGTTGAGAAACTCTGGACCAGATAATCTCTAAGGTTGTTTTCAAGTTCAAGAAATCTATGGTTGTACAAAATCGCCTCCCAAAAACAATTGGTGTTTTTATAGCTCAAAGAAGAGAGATGTATTCTTAGAGAAGGATAAATCGTCAGGGCTTGAGAGAGAGTCAGTCATTTCCAACACTGACTTCTGATTGTTGATTCATAAACAAATGTGTGTGCTGACCCACAAAACACGAGTTCTGATTAATTCTACTGATATTGGCCAGCAATCTAATTAATTTAGGCCCGAAGTGAATTTTTGACTTGAACTATCAATCTCTAATATCTTACTAGCCTAAATTAACCAGATAATTTAATGAAGAAGTATTTATTAAACTACTTCGGTTAACTTTCTCTTTAACTCTTTTATTTTTTGAGGGTTAAATTATAAAACTTTATTTTCATTACAGTTTAAATTCGGATCCCAAGCTTCCCATCTTTCTGTCGCACTTTTGATCTCTCCCTAATACCGTCTGTGCATATCCAATTCCTCCCATCTTCTTAAGAGCTGTTCAAATGCCAGTCCCACAAAAAGGTTTCCTCTTCTTCCACCCTCACTTCCCTGCAGGTGAAAAGAATTTCTCATGTTATCAATTTCCCCAGCACTTGATATTGTGGGATCTCTTTAACTCATGTGCTTTACAAACAAATGGGTAATACATTTAAAAGAAAGAAACAATAACATCTTAAGTTCTTTTTTTTTAAAGCTGTATTTTATACGGATTTTCTTTGCATGTGAACTTTTTTTATTAATTCAGACTGATGAGACAAAAGAGGAGAGAAACAAGATTAGACATCGTAAAGGAAAAATCGAAGAGCAGAGAAACTGGCAAGAAATTGAATTAGAAGAGAAAGTGAGGAATAAAATCCAAAAAAGTTTTTTAGGGAAAATCCCTGTGTACAGGAAAAGAATCCAAAGATACAACACATGTGCTTCATGACTCAAAGGTATTGGCTTTGTACCTGGGTGATTCATTTGGTGGAAAACATAGCTGGGTCATAGAACTTTTTGCTGGCCCCAAACTTTCTTGGAGTCATTTGAAGCTTCATTTTGTGTGTGTATTTCTTCTCACTTCTTCAAAGGAAATATTAATTGCTTTTCAGAAATAGCCCTGGTCATTGGAGTTTATCTGTTTGAGCACTTGAGATTTAGAATTAGATCATGGACTTTGGAGTATGGAAAGTATTTAAGAAACTGGGACAGATTTGTTCCAAGTGACCTCTCTTTGTGTCCTGACAGGAATAGATAGATAGTAGGTCCTACAAGGGAGCCCCGTTGAATAGGTCCAAAGGGGACAGTCTGCCCCTTGGAAAAGATAGACTGGACCAGTGGTTTAGAACTTTTTGGGCCATGACTCGCAGTAAGACATAAAGTTTACATCAAGACTGAGTCTCCACATATGCGTGTGTTTTATAAAACAATATCTTACTACATGTGTTATACCTATGTTTTCTATTCTAGTCTAGTCTTTTGTTGTTTAAATAAATACTGGCCAAGACCCATTAAATAGATTTCATAACTTATTATTGGATTTCTACATATGTTCCCCAGTTTCTTTCCTGTCTGCAACACCTTCCCCCAGACACACACACATTGCTCAAATACAGTACAGCCCATTTTCAGAAGCATCCCTCTCACTCCACCCCACATGTCAAAATACTTGCAGTTTCCTGAGCACCATGCTCTCTTTCACTTCCCTGCACGTGTCATTCTCTGTCTCTACTCAAAGCACTTTAGAGCTTTCTCACTCCACCTCCCTTTTCTGAACCAAGCTAACTCCATCTGGTTAAGACTCAACCCAGGGCTCAAAAGTCCTTCCCCTCAGCCTGTGTTGACCTGTTTTCTGCTCTCTCCCAAGCATCCTGGAGACATCCTTATCTTTATCTCAGCCTCATCTTGCTATGTTATGGTGATCCATTTATATGCTTTTCTTTCCCACTAGACTCCCTGAAAGCAAAGGCTGTGTCTTATATCCCCAGGAACTGGTCTAAGGTTTGACACATACCTGGTTCATAAATTTTGGATGAATGAGAGCCTGCCTGTTGGTCGGCACATAGTACTGAGTTGCTGCCTCCTTGGTAAGTTGTGGTCTGTTTACCACAAACGAGAAATGAGTATCCTTTAGTGGAAAATATGCACCTGAGTTGCAGTAGATGTGCTGACCCTCAGAATCTTTTTGCTGTTGCTCATAAGATATAGTGTAGCAAAGCAGGTGGAAAACTCAGGCTTTGGAGCTGCACAGAACTGGATTTGAATTTTGGCCCGTTGGTTACAAGCTCTGTGACCTTAAGCAAGTTACTCAATTTTTTAAAATCTCAGTTCCCTCATCTGCAATAATGACCTTCTATGGCTGTTGTTAGGATTGTGTAGATGTTAAATAATGGGACATAAGCTCCGTGAGGGCAGGAAGTTTTGTCACTTCGGTACCTTGTCATGGACTTAGAAAAATGGCTGGCACATATTTGCTGCATAGGTGAAAATTTTGCTGCTCTCAATAGGCCCTCAGTAATTCAAAGCAGCTCTTATTCCTGTGAATATCTTATCAAGTTTTGCCAGGATTCCTTGGAATATGCATGATGTGCATGATAATTCCTTATAACTTCTTTGGTCAGAAGTTAGGCTCCTACCTGTGAGAGGACACTTTCATAGCCTGACATTCAACGATTCAAGATGCAGGTAGAAACATTTGTCTTCCTGAAGAATGTTGTATTTCGTGCTGTTAGTCTAGAATGAAGTTTAGTCATTGCAAGGTTGGTTGATTTTGTAGAGGTCCTTCAGTTCTGTTTTTGAGTTGCCATGTATGGGCGTTTGATTCTTTCTTCTTCTCTTGTCTCTTTTCTTGTTAGACATCCATGAGCCATATCATCATTCACTACGTATTAGATAGACTCACACAGATTCTGATTCAGGGTCTTGGGAAACATGACTGAATTTCTCTGTGTTCCTAGAGTTGTTTCATTCTTTTCCTCTGCAGAGATCTTGTGTAAGATCCATAAGGATGGAAAATCCATTATTGCCTAATGTCCTTACTGTTTCCCATTTCATGAATAGATGTTTGTATTCCTAGGTTTCATTTTGGGCCTTTCCTATTTTCAGTACTTTCCTGAGTATCTTGTGCCAAATAATGAAAGTATCGTTTTAAGCTTTTTTGAATTTCATTAGCTCACGGACATTTCTCAATACTACATTTCTACCAGAAAGACAAAACAAAGAAAGAAATTTTAAGAAGCAATTCTCAAAGTCTTCCACAAAACAGGACAAATAAAATGATGGTATTGCTTCATTTAAAAGATCCACATCAAAATGTTCTAAACTTAACTTTCTCATGCCAAAAGCCACTTCATTGTAGTATTTACTGAAGAATCTTTTAAGTAGTAGGGTTAAATGATCCAGATTATTAGTCCATTATGGTTGTTTACCTTATATTTCACATGGTAATAACAGGGTTGTCCTACTCTTTTATATGTAAAAGTCTGCCAAAAACTATTTTATTCATTTGTTAGTGAATTTAGGTGTGAATTCCAAAGTGTGCTCCTTATCATAAATTCCTCAGATATATAATAACAGAGTGTATACAAAAAAAGAATGGTAACTCCTATGACACTATATTAATTTAATATCTTAAGTCCATCAACGGAACAATATACTAGTATACTTTTGTTCTCACACTGACTTCTGTTTTCAAACTTAAGATTACCCCTAAGTTACTATAGTCATATCAGACTAGGTGGGGCTCTTCATTACATTTTTGAAAGTAGGAGGAGGAATATATTTGGGGGAAAATAGGACATATTTTGGTAGGTGGAATTAAGAGAAGGGGAAGCATGCCTGACTAACTAATAGGTTTCACTTAGTTGGTTCAGTGTTGGAGGACAGGTAGACCACAGAAGGGCAGAGCTTTCTGGAGAAAACAGGAGGGTTAACATTTATGGAATGCCTACTACATGCTACGTGTTTCAGTCTTTTACATCCTCACACAGAAACTCTGGAGAAGATTATTGCATTAAATTAAAGATAGGCTGCCCATAACAAAAATTCAGTCATCTGTCCGAAGTCATACAACTCCTAGGGGGCAGGGCCCAGATTTGAACCCAAGCTTTCACAACTTGTGTTCTTTCCACTAACAGCACGGTCTTAGGGTACTCCAGGTAAACCTGTATGTGTCCAGTCAGGTGAATGTTGCACTTGACATCTTTTAAATTTCCACTTTACAAACATTTCTTGACAAACTGAGGGAGAAGTTCCACACGATGGAACTGAGATATCATCTCCGCTTTCTACCCCTGAATGGTTCCTCTGAGGGCATCACTGCAGCCTTTTACATGGATATGAAAACATTTAGTAGAGTGGAAAGTATTGTGTTCATGGTAGCCAAAAGTTCCTATAGTACATTTTTTTTTTACATCAGTTCAGTTTATACGTGTTTAACTTATTCTAATGACTGTTTCCAATGTGAAAACCAAGTTTAAAATAACTTGATCACCTTGTTTCAAACACAGCTGTTCACATACCATACTCCAGCTCCATCCATGTAAGTAAATCCTCTATAAAAGCTCCCAGGAAATTTCAGAAAAATATAATCTTCTAATTTAAAAGTTGATCGATTTGCCAAATGATGCAGCCAGGTTTGCTTCTCTAAAAGCTTCTGATAAGGTCGGATGTGCATGACAGACTCTAGCTATATCTTCACAGGATGCTCCATATTCCAGTGCAAGAGCAGCTCCATTTATTATTTCACCAGCACCTGGTCCTAGAATACGTGCTCCCAATACTCTGTCTGTTGATTTCTGCCCACGTATCTTCACCATACCATCTGTGTCAGCGTTTGTCTTAGCTCTGCTGTTAGCAGCAAATGGGAATTTCCCAACTTTGTACTCAATACCCTCTTCTTTCAACTGCTCTTCTGATTTGCCAACCCAAGCAACTTCAGGGTGTGTGTAAATCACCAATGGTACACAATCGTAGTCAATGCGCACAGCGCCACCAGCCATCCCTTCAACACAGATAAAGCCTTCATCCTCTGCTTTGTGAGCCAGCATTGGACCAGCAACCACATCACCGATTGCATAGATATTTGGAATTTTAGTTTGGAATCTGGTATTTACTGGAATTCTACCTCTAGGATCCAGCTCAATTCCAAGCTCCTCTAGTCCCAAATTCTTAGTAAAGGGTCGTCGGCCAATGCAAACCAGGAGTACATCACAAGTGATAACTTCAGCTTTATCACCAGAAGCAGCTTCAATAGAAACATCAATTTTTCCATCTGACTTCTTAGTAGCACCAGTAAATTTGGTATTCAATTTAAATTTAAATCCTTGTTTGTGAAGGATGCGTTGAAAGTTTTTAGATATCTCCATATCAATTCCAATTCCACCAACATGACCCCAAAACTCAACTGCTGTCACATCTGCACCAAGTCTTTGCCAAACTGAGCCCAATTCTACACCTATTACTCCTGCACCAATGACAACCATCTTTTCTGGAACTTTTTTTAAAGACAAAGCACCTGTAGATGACACTACTGTATCTTCATCAATCGTAATTCCAGGAAAAGGAGTGACTTTTGAACCTGTGGCTATAAGAATGTTCTTTGTATCAATAACTTGAGTGCTGCCATCGGCTTTCATAGCGGTGACCTGATTTTTCCCAGTTATCTTTCCATATCCATTTACATGAGCAACCTTATTCTGTTTGAATAAGTGGGCAATTCCACCCGTTAAAGCTTTTACTGCATTACCCTTCTGCTCCATCATCTTCTCTAAATTCAAGCGAACTTCAGACATTTCAATTCCTCTAGATGCAAAATCTTTTCCATGGGCCATATGGTAACAATGAGAGTTATTCAATAAAGCCTTAGAAGGAATACAACCAACGTTCAAACATGTTCCACCGAGTGTTTCATTTTTCTCAACGCAGACTGCCTTGAAGCCTAACTGGGCAGCTTTAATAGCAGCAACATATCCTCCAGGACCAGAACCTATCACTGTTACATCAGCATCAATTGGTTAATCTGCATAAGTTCTCAGTGGCACTGCAGAAACTCCTTGCAGACCATGAGATATTCGATTGACATGGCCTCTCTTATATTCCTCAGTCAGAAGTCCAAAAATCAGCTTCACAGGGCTAAAAACATGGTGTCATCAGGGAGGGTTCCTTCTTGAGACTCTAGTGGACACTCCAGTTCCTTGCCTTTGCCACCTTCTAGAGGCTGCCCATATTCCTTGACTCGTGGCTCTCTCCTCCCATCTTCAACGCCGGCAATGTTGTGTCATCACGGCTTCTCCTCTGACTCTCCCTATAGTACTTTTTAATAATAATAAAGTTGATTGCAGAATGGAAATATTACAAGGAAAAGTAACATGCTATAATATAAACTCCTAATGATATGAATATTAAAATGCAATCAAATGCATATTGAGGACATTTGCTCTAGTGCACAAACACAGGCATCCAGAGTGATGTCTTCTCTCTACTGTTCTTGCTTTTATCTTTAGCCATGTGAGAAGACTTTCAAGGGTCCTATTTCATTTCTCAGAGTGACAGGCTCATCCTACAACAAGCAGAGTGACTGGCCAAAGCTAACGGCTTCCTTGAATAAATTCATTTTCTGGTGATTTGGGTTCCCCTCTTCACAAGACTTCCTGAGATACTGATCATGGAATGGAATATTATCTCTTTAGTTCTGGGCACTTAGTCAGCACTCAGACCACATTCCTGGCTGCAGCCTGGAACATCACTTCTGGCTGGACTCACTTTTCCTTGCCCACCGAGATCAGCCAATTCACTGCATTTTATTGATTGTGAGCTGCTGATTTATCTAGTCTCCTCGTTTCACGTGTGAGGGACAGAGATTTGGAATGACTTCCCTCTGCTCACATAGCTGATGATAGAATGTGGGCTGGAATCCACATTTGACTCCCAGTCCAGAGCTCTTTCCATTCCCCGGTCCCTCACTTATTAATACATTCATCAAATATGTGTTAGATGCCTACATGCGTGTAAGGAGCTGTGACTTAAGACACAGATCCTGCACTCAAGGCCTTTACCCTTCTCTATGTTTTTGATTTCCAGAGGGTCTGAGTTCCATTAGGAAGATGACTCTATGCCAGGGCAATCTCTCTGCCCTGGATGGATTGGGCAATCACAACTTGTTACATACAGCTCCATTTCTAGTATCCAAATGTATTGTTCATAAACAGCCTATTCTCTAGTCTTCTTTTTATTGGGTTTTCTCACCCAAACATGACATTACTGACGGATAATGTTTAAATGGGTGGTCTCTGAAGATCAAGCTATTAATACCTCAAGTAGTCTCCATTTTCTCCCTAGTAAAAGATAGCACGGATGTGTATGCGTGTGTGTGTGTGTGTGTGTGTATGTGTGTGCGCATCGGGTGTAGTGCACTGAAACACTCAGAAGAAAACCATTTGTTCATGAATGGGCCACAGTACAAGCTACAGATTTCTTCTGGGCCTCACATGGCTGCCACATACACCAGACTACCAATATCAGATAAGCAGATTTTTGTCAACTGGTAATTTTTAATAATTTAAGCATACTTTTTTTCATTATTTTAAGGACCCATTTTGGAGCTTCATTTGAGCAGCAAGTATTTCCTGAGGTCCTGCTGTGTTCCCAGTCCTGTAAAGTTTTGGGCTATGGGAAACTGAGTCAGATATCGTGATCCTCAAGTCACTTTCATGCTTCTTGTGCTGTCATTCTTGCTTCAGTTGATCCTGAAGTAAAAAGGACTCGTAAGTCACAGAGGAGGTAGCTGAGGCCCCGAGAAGTTTAGTGACATGCCAAGATCCCCAATACTAGCAAGTGATAAAGCTGGGGCTAGATCTCTGATCTTTTTGCCACTGGACAGTACTCTTTTCTTTTTTAACTACACCAGATTGCCTGCCAATATTTTTCAAAAACACGGGATATATTAAAGAAATAATTCCTTGCAAACATATAATTGTGACCTCATGATAGAATAATAACAAAGAAATGAAAATGTTAAAGTTAATTTAAAATGCTACCTAAAACTAGGTCATGAATGTATCCCCTAGCCTTTCCTCCCCATGGGCATAAGTGAGTTCCTTTCCCAAATGACTGGTTTGGATTTTTACACCCATGTGAGTTACAAAGACCTTTTTATTACAGGGATCCCTGCTGAACTTCTCCTAGGGAATGACTGTGATGGGAGAAATACAAGTAGCGAGTTCACTGGGCGTTTATAACTCGAGAGAAATCTCCTGCTAAAGCTTGGAGCTTACTGCTCATCCACCAGATTAACTTTGTCTGGGAGGTGGTCATTAGCCTCCCAAACCCCAGAGGTTTGGACTGTTCAGTTACACTAAGCCCAGAAGCAGGGAGGGATTAGGACACAGCTTCCCTGGGTGAAAATGGGGAAAGCTAAACTGCTTCCAGATTGCAGTTCACTGTCCCTATACTGATTTCTGGAGGACTTGAGAAGGTCCTGAAGCAGAAGGGACCCATTGGCTTTGGAGGCAAGAGATGATGGAAATGCACAGTTCATCCACAAACCAGATGCTCTTAGCATCACTCCCTAGCTGGGTGACATTCATGGGACTCTTTCCCATTGGTTTCCACATTTGTCAAATGAGCAAGAAAAACATAAAGAATTACAGATTGACAGTTTGGTAAGTTTCCCTGATGGTCACCTTACTGTTATCTATTACGTGGGCTATGGTGTTGTGTAGCCTGGGAGAACCTAAAAATCTGGATTTGGGGGCTCTTGATTTATTTGATTTATTGTCAGCAGATGACATTAAAAGTAGCTTGCAGTTGCTGAGCGGATCTAGATGGACAATGGTGGGTGGAAACAGGGAGTGGCCTGGATGGTGGCCGGAATTAGAGATTGCAAAGCACTTTCCCACACATTGTGCCATTGGATTCCTGCAAAGTCCTTCAAGGGCAGGTATTCCTATTGGCAAATGAGACAAGTGAGATTTGACAAAGGAGAAAATTGATGTTCTAAAAGGTTAAGCAATGTCTAGAGCTCACACACAAAAACAGTGGTGGCAGTATAAAAAGTAGAATATAAGCCAAAGCCCTCGTTTCCTTATGCGACATACCAGAGAGTGATGAGAATCTACCACAAAGCTTTTTAGCTATCCTCAGGTAATCAGCAACTGTTTATAGTGTATTATTGACACGGGACTCCAGTCTTCTATTCTTTCTGGACCTCTAGAACTTCTCTTGTTTTGGCTTGTTTGGCTCCCACCTCTCTTGTTTGGCTCCCACCTCCTCTTGATCTATGTAGCTCCTTCAGCTTACCACTTAGACACCACTTCCTCCAAGAAGTCCCCAAGACTTTGTTAGGTGACCATTCTTTAGGCTTATGTGGTATCCAGTGATTATCACCACTTTATCCTTACCACTCTAATTAAATTACCCATATTGGAATATCACTCTCTAGGCACTAAAACTAGTTATTTACAAGTCATTCACTAGTGGTTATTTTTTCACCATTTAACCCCAACATATAAGATGATAAGCTCTGTCTGGATAAATATTTCTTGAGTAAATGCTGCGTAATCTACTGTAACCAAAAGGGAATTTGCTTCCACATTACCCTTGGGGGTAGGAGAAGATGGAAAGCTCTCTTAAAGCCATCTAAAGCAGCACCATTTCCAGGAGGAGGCTCTCAGGAAACCAAACTCTATAGCCATTTGCTTAAAACATTAGGTTATTCCCAGAAGTAAGACTTAGAGTTGGGAAAGGACTAAAAGTGTGATAAGGATGGAAGTTAGTGTTTGTGTAACTCTATGGGGAAAGAGGTGAGAGTAGATATTTTTGGAGTTACTGGAAAACTTAGCCATGACACCCTGCCTGCTCATGTGTCTGGTGCTATTGCTGGGAACCAAGCTTCATACCAATCCTCTGTCAGATATCAGCTCCTAAGAAGAGACTTGAACTTGCTATGTGGCTATTTATAACTGTATCTCCCTATTTGGTTCCAGATTAGAAGACCCTACAATACCACTGATATATGTTATCAGAACCACATATCGACAGAGTATGACAATCATGGTAGATGATGAGCAGGGTGTAGGACTCACAAATCGGGTAAATACAGAACCCAGCACTTTAACCTAGAACCTGTATATCCCAAATCCTTTCAAGTATCTAGGAATTAATGAATGCATAAATGTAATCATCACATAAAATGAATTAGTGGAGTCCTGGCTGCAAGGCCATTTCTGCAATGGCAGAATCTTAAAGGACATGGAGAGCTCGACAAGGGTTGAGTATTACAGGCATTGTGCTGAACTTTTGGCAAAAGCATCCTAGGCAGTGTGTAAACAAATGGACATGGCTGTGCTCCAGTTAAACTTTACTTACAAAAATAGGCAGTAGGCTGTGTTTGGTTCCTCAGACTTTCCTGATCCTGGTGTAACGTATAGGTAGCAATTTACAATTTTATTTCCTTCTGAAAATCCTTCCTTTGTTCTCCTTTGCCTACAAGCTGAAGCACAAATTCCTTAACTCTATTCCAATCTGAGCAGTACTTTCAAACCACCTGAGAGTTTATGCTCTTTTTCTTCTCTTTGTGCTCAGTTCACATCGTTCTGTTCTTAAGGCTTTCGGCTTAACCAAATCCTACCCATCCTTTGTGGAAGATGTTCTCCAATGGGGTAGAGGGGTTATATCAGAATCATCTGGGGAGCCTTTTGACATTAGACATAGTGCTTATCAACCACCCTAAATTCTGATAGGCCCAATGAGGAGGTGGGGCAGGGCAGGGACTTGTATAGCTTGCAAATGTTCCTAAGCTTATTCAGGTGATAGACACTCTCCCCCCAAACCAGTGCTCTATGGCATTGCTAAAATCCCACTTCCTCCAAGAAACCTTTCCTAACCACATTAACCCATACTCAGCTTTCTTCCTTTGGACCCCATTAGTCCTCTTTGGCCAAAAAATTCATTTTTAGCACTTATTGTATTTTTTTGGTTTTTTAAGTGTTTCATGTATCTGCCATTGTTGTTCTAGGTGCTGGGGACTCAGCAGTGAACAGGATAGTAAAGACCCTTCTCACTGAAGATTACATTCTAGTGACAGAGAG